GAGACGAATACTAAGTATACCTAGGATGGCAAAACGCATCGATCCTGACTCAGCTTTGCATAAAAACTCCTTTGTCCACCTTACGCCGGCAATGTTTTCTTTGGTAATTAGGCCATACAGTGCGCAGAGGCAATGCAAATTTGGAAAAGCTTATTATGATTGGGAACGCCGAAACCAAAAGATCGCGCGGTCGTTTTTCAACAAACAAAAAAGTAGACCTCATCCAAATTTTATGCATTTCTCTACCAATGGACAGAAACCAGTTGAAACAGACTGCCCGATCCAGTTGCAATCCTGGCGCTAATAACAATCCTCAAACATGAAGGACCGATCCCAGAGAGAGAGTATATTAAAGTGATGATGATAAAAGTGAATGATCATAAAAAGATTGTAATTAGTCATAAAAAAAATACAATCGGCTACCTAACATAACCTATAGGTTACCAATTGTAATGGAAAGGTGACTATTTTTTTGAGGATTATTTTAAAATATTTTCCGTTTAAATCATTGTTTGATTTTTTAAAAAATGAGGGTATCATTATATAAACGAATATTTTTATATTTATTTAATTTATTTAGATCAGTATTTGTGAGAAGTATCAAGTCTATTAACCCAAGGAATACGATTTTCCATACAAACTTTTATCCACTTTTTTACCCCTCAGGGGTAGAATTTCAAAAATCTAGATACTTTAAATTTCTGATCTCAATAAATAAAACTACCTTCGTAAGAATTTTAGGTACGAAGGTAGCTCGCCAAATTAAATAAAAGTTTGATTCTGACGACGTAGCCTGTAAAGGCTACGAAACGTCAATAAATGAATAAAGTTTCCTGCATTACCCGTAAAAACTAGTTTTATTTAATGAGTGATGTGCGTGAAAATCTAAGAAACAAATATTCTGATCTCAAGTATAAATACTGAGTTTCGAGTTAATAGAGTGCGCGTTAAAATTAATTCATATAAAAACTTCTACACTCTCCCAATCCACTTTTAGGGGGTATTTTATAAAATAACAAACTTTATTATTTGTTTAGATAAGTATTTGTGGCGGCGACATTTAAATGCCCCACATTATATCCTACGGATAGCGGAAATCATCACTCGGCTTCTCAAGAGATGGCGCTCCCGAAACTGCAATGAATACACCTACATCGGGCAAAGGAAATTCGGATGCTGACACTCCATATATACAATGCCCGACCAACATCAGTCAGGCCGCGACCCCGGAGCTACCATCATCTAGCTCGAGGGAAGATTTTCCCTTTTGGCCTTCCTATATATTCTTGCCAAGTTTCAAGTCTAAACTCAAGGAATAAGATTTTTCATACAAACTTTCATCCTCTACTTTAACCCCTTGGGGGATGAATTTTGAAACATCCTTTCGTTAGTGCAACCCTAGACCCTAAATTTGGAGTCCCCAGACCCAGCGGTTTGGGCTGTGCGTTGATATGTCAGACAGTCAGTTGGTCGGTTTCTTCTTATATAGGTACATTTAAATTATCTGTATTGAGACATAGGATACTTTTTATCCCGAAGAAAAATCAGGTTTCTGTGGGATTGTCAAAACCCGAAGTTAACGCGGACAAAGTCGCAGGCGGCCGCTAGTATATTTATATTTCAGTGTTTAATTCAAACCTGTACATAACCATATGAAACATTTTATAATCCCTTCTGGGTTAATACATGAAAACTATTCAATTATTGTAGAAGATCAAGGTTTACTGATGAATTCAGTACATGAGCTGATTGCCTAAAACCATAGAGGAAATTACTGATCCAAAATAAAATATAATATATTTTATCTTCCAATATTCGTTTCAAGAAAATCTCTGAGGTTGCAATTTAGCCCAAACGCACGATGAGGTAGTATTTATTCATTTATAATTCATGATTCGTGAAGTATTCACTATGACAAAAGGTAGATAAGCTCCACTTCAACGCCATCTTGCTACCAATCTGTAACAAATAAAATGATACAGTGATATAAAAAACTTCACGTGTGGAATATATTTGTTCGGCACTGGTTCTTTACGAATTACCGAAGAGGGACGCATTCATAAAGGTTCAGCTGTACCTCCCGAGCTTATGCCTCAAGAATCGTAAAATATTTCCGGGACGTCACACAACCAGCGTCGCACAATGCCGTATTAACGCTGGATGTGACATCTGACTTTATTTCTATATAATACTAGCCTTTGCCCGCGATTTCATCCGCGTTTACTTTAGAATGGGGTCCAGTGAGTAATGAGACATCTAATTATCCTTTTGAAATGGTGATGTTATGCTGTCCAGCTTTTTTTTAATTCCAAAGAAACTGATTTTCAGGAATAAAAAGTAGCTGTTAATCCCGCAAATAAACTGTGTGTCGGAACGGATCGGATCGGATCCGTGCATGAAAATTTTACAGAATAGCACTGCCGTTGTTAAAGAAATACTAATTATATAATAATTTAAGGGGGTCTCCATAAAACAAACGTGATTTTTTTGTTTTAAATTGATAACGGCATTAGGTAGTGACGCTGGAAATATTCACAGAATATTTATTTATATTTATATTTTATATTCACTTTAAAATTATATAAATACATTAAAATAAAATAAATATTTATTTAAAATATTTAAATACAACAGACAAGATTTTATGCCGCTTTTGCTCGATATTATAATATTGTATACATAATGGTACGGAACCCTGCGTGGGCGAGTCCGACTCGCACTTGGTCGGTTTTTAGGCATGCTCTTGCAAAGTTTGACGTCGAAATATTTCTTTATTATTATAGCAAGGATATGAACTGGGCATAAATAAGTCTGTGATATTTTTATACTAGCAATGCGCTCCGGCTTTGCACGGGTGAATTTTATTTTAATGCGATAAAATTATTCTTGTTACTCAGGGATAATATAACATTCTAATCGTGGAAGAGTTTTTGAAATTGGTTAAGTAGTTTTTGAGTTTATTAGTTGAAATAATATAGATCTATCGTCATTTTAATATTAGTATAGAGCATTAAAGATTTATTTTTATATTTATTAGGTTCTTGTGGGACTCTCAAAAAACTAAAGTTAACGCGGACGAAGTCGCAGGAGGCTGCAACAAAATCATACAGAATACCGGGCTAAAATGTCACATAGTATGTTAGTGATGCATACATAACCAGCAACTAAGAGTAAAATACTTAATTATAATTGACAATAAGTTAAAATGAAGGTATATTATTCCTCGCAAAATGTAATTATAATTAACACTATCAATGAATGTAAATTTGTTAATCAAACAATTGTTTGAGAGGTTTATTGAATTTATTATAGGTAATTAAGACATTATTCGTATATTTAAACAATCGTATCAATATAATGAATGCCAACCCCTTAACGGATTGTGGCGTAAAGTTATGAATGTATTATAACAATCCCGAATTCGTGTTTTTACGATGCTTTCAATAACAATAGTCAGTTTTTTTTTCTATTAAAACTAAAGTCTTAAAATACTGTAAAAAAATTGCAAACATTGGAAAGGTTAAATCTAGCAGTTAAACAGTAAATAGGACAAAAATTTCACAGGTGGGATCATGATAAGCCGTTGGGGAGTGCGGCTCCATCCTCGCAGAGACCAAAGCGCTGCCATTTGTGGCGGGTACCACGGATACACATACTGCTGGCCCTGATGATCGCGATCTCGATTCTTGCGCGTAACCATCCCATTATTGAGGCGAGGGGCCGGCTCCAGCGGTCTGCTAGTGCTTCGGCAAGATGTTTGGCGAAGCTTTTCAATTGTGGGGCGAAGACTCCGTCGACTGAGGTCACCAGGGGTGTAAAGGTAGAGTGGCGCGACTCGCATGGGCCACAATATTTCCTCATTTTTTCGTCTTTGGCTGAGCGAAGGACGGCTGCAACTGGGCGTGATGCGTAGGAGGGAGCGTCGGTGGCAACGACACGGACATCAAATAACACCTCCCTCTGTGCAGTCCGGAGTCTCCTTCGGAGATGACTGGCTCTTTCGTGATGTTTCCCCAGGCCATAAATGTTGACATAAATCACAGAAAAGGTCCCTTATCTCATTGTGTCGGTGTGTGATGAGGCCGCCTGTCTTGCAGCACAAGGCATGGTCTATGTTGAAGTTGTCGTTGCTGCAGCCGTCGCAGGACGCAGGCATGGAAACCAGTGTGCGGTGGTATCTTATGGCTAGGGCGTCCCTGAATTCGTGGGGTGACAGGTCGAAGTTGTCTTTTCTAGTGGGTATTATTGAGAGCCAGGTTGAGGGTTTTGTGTTCATTTTTGTCGCTATTGATCTTTCTATTGCTCTTTTTTTTGGGTGGTAATTTAGTTAGGATATTTTCGAGAGTTTCATTGTCGTATGTTTCTTTTTCTTTCTTTCCTTCTTTTCTTGCGTCACGTAGAGATTTGTGGTGATGAGCTAGGTTTATGTCCTTCGATTCGGTTAGGGCTGTTGAAAGTGTTGTTGATCCTTGTTTTGAGATTTGGTATGCTAGGTTTGGGGTGTTGAAGGGGTCCGAAATGGCAAGTCCGCCTTTGTGTACTGGAAGTGTAAATAGTTGGGCTTCTAGTTTTGTTATTTCACCTCCAATTAGAGTTGGTAGGAATTTTTCATGCAATGTTTTGGTTAAGGGTTCAAAATGTTCTTCTACATTTTTTACGACACGTAGTAGGAAAGACCATTTAAACTGGGCTGCTTTTGTAAGGGCTGTGTAGGCTGCTTGAGGGGACTCTTTAGAAATCGCTGTTAATTTCGTGACGGCGGATAACCATTGGATTACATTGTTTTTAATGAAGTCGACCTTTCCTTTTCCTATGTAGCCTCTTAAGAAGCGGGAGCCGGTAACTATGGTAATATTGGTACCGGAGAACGTATTTTCTGCAGCAGGCTTATCAGTTTCTGATACTATAAGGAATGATTTTTTACCTTGTGGGAAGTAGCCATATGCTGGCCGTATTTTGTTAATGTTGTCCCACCAGTTTCGTAAGTTCTGGAATGTTCCTTACGCGGAGGAGTCATCGGCGTACCAGCATTGTGTGACAGTGTTTTCGGATTTGAGTTTGTTTATTATTGGTAGTGTCGCTAGCGCATACAGTGGCATGTATAATCTTGTTCCAGAGTCACGAAATACAAGTTCCGCATGGCCGTTGTATGTGTTGTACAGAAAGCGAGCGCAGTGTGGCCAGTGTATTCTTGCCTGCCAGAGTTCTAGTTGTCTATTAACAGCATTGAATGCATTGTTAGCGTCGACAAGGAGCATTCCCCAATTTGACCTGGGATGGCATTCTTTTTGGAAGGCGTCCTTCATGGCGTGGACGGCACCCTCGATGCCGCTACTTAGTCCACTGCATAGTTGTAACTGACCACATGCTTCGGTGACTTCAGAGCTAGTGGCTTCAATCATACATTTTGATAATATTCTCCGTAAGCATTCTCCGATGCCGATGGGTCTCATACACGGGCATTTGTCTAACGCTACAAGGCGGCTTGACATTAGGGCTTGTATTTGGCTCCTGGGTACGGTTTCGTTGCTGAGTTTCATTGTGAGCTGTACAACGGCTTCTCTTAAGAGGGCGCTTGCTTGTCCGTAACGGAGGAGGAAGTCTCTCCAGTTTTCAGCTGTGGAGCCAGTGGGGCCTCCACCACCGTGTAGTTTCCTTGCAACAGTTTCAACGTGGTCGGATGTTATGTCGACTTCAAGGAGTGGCGGCAGTTCTGTGTCGTTTCTGGGGAGAGTGAATAAATCGTGGTCTGGGGTGGTTGGTGGGGGATGCTTTTCCGTCAGCACATAACTTACGGTTTTGCCGGATGGGTCAACTTCGGCGTCGGGGTTTAAAACTTTGTACGTGTCTTTTGTGAGGAGCCAGTTGAGGGCTTCTCGTATTAGTCTAGTGAATGTTTTTGTGTCTTGGTCGTCGCGTTTCCGGTTGCCTGCATTCCGTAGAGATTTATCTGCTTTGATGGATTCGGTAATGAGTTCCTCGAAGCGTTCGTCTGTCCATAGCTTCAGGCGGCGATCAAGTAATCTGAGCACATCTTTAGTTTTTCTTACATTTTTGTCTCTTTGCAGAATGACTGCGGCGAAAGTCAATACGCGTTCGGAGGGGTAAGTTGATTTGGTCAGATGCTCAATTTCGTCAGCCAGGGTGTGCACGAACTTTCTACTGGCAGTGCCGCTTGGGAGGTCATTCATCTTACCGTGCAGGTTGCAGACGTTGTCCCAGCGCTGTTGCCAGATGCCAGACTTGGGCCCGACGGCATTGAAAAAGGGGGACCCGAAAGCATCTTCCAGCGGTGACATGGGCGTGCGTCCGTTGGTGCTTATTGTTAGTGTGACAGGTGCTGATTGGTTCAGTGCGTCATTATGTGCTGATCTTATGTGTCGCAGCAGTCCAGTTTTCTTGAATTTCCTGGGGCAATGTGGACATCTACGTCGGCTTGTGGGTCACAGACATGTGGGTCTCGGTTTCGTCACTTGGAATTTTGTTGTAGAACACGAATAATAATAAATACACGAAAAATTTTGGTGATAGACAATAGGACCATAACAAATTACAAAAATAAAATCAAATATTTGTAAATAATTCGTCTGCTTGACGTGACAGTTCACATGACATTGTTTCTTTATTATTATTTGTTGGAAGATTTACAGACAAACAGTATCAGTAGTTTGCATAATAAATACACATGCATTTAACAAATCTCCACAATTATATACCAAATTAGAATAACTAGAGGACAATTAAGTTTTTGAAAATAAAAATAATAAAACTGTGTAAATAACACAGCTAGCACAATTGTTACAATATAAAGACATTACAATCCGTAATGACAGAAACTACACTTATATTCCTCAAATTTAACGTCAATTTCTAATGCTAATCTTTTTCAAAGAAACTTAGACTTAAATCTTTTTCACTGATGAAATGCTGGAGCAAAGTTAATCAATACCAAATGGAAGTTGATAGAAGGTGTTGCATGCTTGTATCATATACGAGTTAACTCTATAACGTGTTCATGCTGACTGGGGGCACAAAATTGTCCTTTGTCACAATCGAAGTAGATTAGTCTTAAGGCTCAAAGCGGACAACAGTTCAGGACAATCCATTTTCTTCTAGCGATATTCATCACCAAGCAAATATCACTCTTCTTTTTTCTAACGGCAGAACAGCAAAAATTGGATGAACTACGGATTAGAAACCCAGAGCTTAAGAAGCTTTTTTGACAATAAAATCTATATGTTTATCAAACAGTAACTTAGTGTCATGTATAATCCAGGATCCTTGATTTCATTAACCTTAACGAATGCCTGATTTTCTGTGTTTATTTTGAGTTTAATTAATTGAAACAAAAAGATCAACAAGCGTAATTGATAAAAAGAAACATTAACATCTAATTTGTTTTTATCGCAATACCTTTCAAATCTATGTAAATCTGCCTGAAGGCTCACAGTATCCTGTTAATGCAGCATGTTGATATCATTAACAATGATTGTGAACAGCAGTGGTCCCGATGGTATAAGAGCACATGGGCTCTTATGTATGCGTTTAAGACAACTTATTGACTTCGATTTTCGACATATAAAATGAACCATCTGTACAAGTCGCCATGTATTCCAGTAAGCGCCAGTTTTTGCAAACCAAAAGCCCAAAGTGGTCAATTCTGTCAAAACACTTGCTATAGTAAAGATGAAATCCACTTGAGCCTTTTCTTCCATGCCAGAAGTGATGAAGTTGTTGGCGAGTAACAAGTTAGAGATTATAGAACGGTCCTATAAGAACCCATGCTGTTCGTCACTGAATGTACATTTGAGCGCACAATAGACATGGTCGTAGATCAATCTTTCTAGTACGTTAGCGAAAAGGCAAAGTTTGGAAATTGGTATATGGTTTTCCACGCACGCCTTGTCTCCTTTCTCTTCTTTGTCTTCCTATAAATCGGTGTGACATCAAAACAAGTGTGTTAGTGTTTGAGATACTCTAGGCACAGTTTGCTATAAAGATTGGAAGTATAGAGTATGGCAAAGACGTTAGATTTAGACAAATCAGGAGTGATTTGTCTTAATCTAACGTCTTTAGATGTCTCAAACCTACTTTCAGTTCCACTGTGCACGATTCGACAAGCTGAAAGCAGGACCGTTTCACAGGTAGCAGGTATGATAGGAGGAAAAAAGCCTTCTTACTTTGATGTGATGTAAGTTACCATATTTTTCCCTACTTATCATACCGGCTACTTATGTAACGGCCCGCGCTTTCAGCTTAGCGAGTATCCATTCGTTTCTTATTTTATAATTATACTACCACTCCTAAAACTTTCATCTTTCCTTAAATCACGTAAGTCTGGGGTGACTGGGATCTTGCACTATAGATCACGAGACATTGATTAGATCATCACACACATTTGGCCTTGCCAGACAGACAGCTGGCTGAGAACGAGGCGAGCCTTTCTTATTTTGTAACTATCATAAATACAGATTTTATTTATCTCGATAATTATTGTATTTATCTCATAATGCATAGTTAGACTGCTACGATAACTTGTTTTTTGTGAGGTCCCAATATTTCGGCACTGTTGCAAACACCATGATCATAAAGTAACTGTAATCAAAGTATTTACCTCATCTAGTTACTACTACTATAAGTCAGCGTTACAGTGTTACGCGAAGAGAAGTTACTCGTTGAAAACAGGGAGAGCTCCCAATTTGGTTGGTTACTGCAACTGAATGTTACCATATCCGCGAACAAGTGAAGATTGAACTGTAAACGGCAGGCTCGTCGTAAACTGCCTGCTTGTTATTTTACATGAAACAAAATATATTTTATACGAAATATGGCAGTTGTGTTTATAATACAGTATAATATTTTTTTTTCAAGAAACATGTACAACTTGAAAAAAAATGTAGTGTATCTATTTCACATAGTGGATTATTTTCTAAAGGTGCTTCTACACAGTGCAAGTAGCTGGAGCAAGTAAAGATGCGGGTTACTCGCGTGAGTAGTGTGCACCAGTTACTTGTACAAGTTACTCGCTTGTTCTTGTACATAGTGCAAATTACTGGAGCAAGTAAACCTGGACCTGCGTGTGCTGATTAGTTGTGCGTGTGGCTCGCTCTGGTTCATGCTCGACTAGCTCGACCCGCACATGTCTTTGCACGGTGTTTTCACGAAGCATATAACCTGCGCAAATGCCTCAATATACACAAGTTACTTACACCGTGAAGAGGCACCCTAAATCCTACTAATATTATAAATGTGAAAGTTTGTATGTTTGTTACTGAATCACGCAAAAACTACTGAACGAATTTTGAATGAAATTTGGTACGAATCTATTTTATGGTACCTGAAATGAGACGTAGAATACTTTTTATCTTGTGGAATTCACAAAAACTAAAGTCACGGACGGTGGCTAGTTTTATATAAGAACAAAAAGATGATACCTATAGTTGATTCAGAAAGTTATTCTGAGTCTGTTAACCCAGCCTCGATAATTTCATTAAAAAAAATCCTCTCAAAATTTACTGACGCAGTGTAAAGTATTCAACCGCCAAATTTGACTTGAAATATAAATCAGACTAGCGATGTCGAAACCACAGTCTAGATATCGATTCATAAAAAAAACCAACAAACCGAGATCCAAATAAAATCTTATTTCAAACAGGTTTTAATCAAAATCTAGTGAAATATTGAATTTGTCTGTGCGCGGCAACCAGCAACATTAAACATCTTTTCTGTATTTTCCGTTAAAGGTTAATATCAGAGAATGGATGTAAAGGGTACGTAAGATATATGTACGAGAACTGAGTAAAAGTACTCTGTGTCGCATTTGTACACAACAAATATAATCAATTTCCGACATATCATAAATAGGTCTTTTAAATATGTTTACCTAGACTAAACTGTGCCTGCGGCGTGTGACCTCCGCATCCCAGAAACACATTTTACTTAACCCTATAAGTAATATCAATACATTCACTAAATTATATTTCTCACAAGTACTTTTAAAAATCACTCGTGCGAGTTTTACGGTCGTCCTCGATGTTCATGAATATTGGTTTTGTTTTTACTGTGTTTTTCCGATAGACAAACTATTACGGTAAATTGATAATTGAATTATAAGTTATCATTAGAAAACTTTCCTGCACACGAACTGACAAAAACGCTACGGGAAATTAATGAACTCTCTTTTTTCGATAACAAATTGCTGTGTTTTCGATATAATAAACTCTTCGAAATTCTGTTGACGAAAAAAAGTCCTCTATCAAATTCTCACATTGAATGGAAATTGTTTTATCGTATTTCAATGTCCATATAAACTTGGTTCTCTTTTTTGCGATTGATTAACAAGTGCCAGAGTGTTTTTTATTTGGTTTGAACCAGCTCATGGATATTTATTAATTAAAAGAATGTGCGAAAATGGATAACAAACAAACAATAACGATCGTGCGTATTTTTTCAAAATGGTTAGGAAGGATTCTTAATCGTGTGCTATTTATTAACCTTTTTAGATACTGTAGCTACTACACTTTAATGAAATCGTATTTTATACATACCCTTTAATTTAAAATATAATTTGCCAGTTGAGAAACAAAATTGTCGCCAGCCTAAACTATATTCAATATAACAAGCAAGGGCGGATCCAGGGGGGGGGGTCATGGGGGTCATGACCCCCCCCTGGGCTGGGTACAGATGGACCAAACCCAGGGGGATTTTATTTAAGTACTTTCAATATTTAATATACCACGATCCGGGGGGGTGGGCTTAGTACCAGTAAAGTTTCCTTTAAGCAGGGTTGGTCTAAGCACGCCCCTTTTTCACACACCTGTCCGATGTGTGATTAGGCGAATGGCCTTAGGGGAGAGCGCTACAGTCGTGTAGATCCCTAAGGCAAGCCAGGTATATATCCTTCCCGCGGTTGCCACCTGTTACGCATTGTTCAGCCTTTTGTTGAAAAATGCAACCGAAACTACCTGACGCATCTCCCATAGAACTCCTCACCCATCCCATTCCTATGCATCCTTATCGTAATCCGCCATAATCGACGACGTGGTCACGCCGACATGGGCCAGTCATCCAAAAAACCAGGATGGCAGGTTGAATTTGACCACCCGCGTGTTTGCCGTGCGTGGAGACCCGTGCGGAGGGATGAAGGGATCCTGGAGGTTGAGCTGTTGGTGACCACCACAGCAACACGCCTCTTTGGCCCTGATTTTAGCCTAAACGGGAGGCCTCAGAGTAGCCAACTGGGGTCAATCGGCTCGACTTACTAACATCCAAGTCAGGCGAGGACTCTGAACTGGCGGGAGCGTTTGGCCCGGTTGCGGACCCATGCGAAAGCGTGGCAACCCAAAACTGGTTACCGGACGTAAACCCACGGGGCTGGAGTCCTATATTCCCGGGGTATTTCTGGCGCA